ACACACACACACACACACACACACACACACACACACACACACACTCAAACACACACACACACACACTCAAACACACACACACACACACACTCAAACACACACACACACACTTATCAACATTAAGGCAAAGTACCCCAGGTGAAGAGGGATTTCTTTTTGTCCTCTCATAATGAACATATGCATGATTCAAGAGGTCAGGCAGTGACCGATTTTCCACCCTGTCAGTCTGCCTTTGACCGTCCACACAGTGCATTGTTTGTCCCATTTTCTGACGTGGAAACGACATCTTGATTCATCTTAAGCCTCATGAATAAAGCCGACAAATCTTGTGTGTGAGATTTGACAAAATGATCGGACTTAATAAACCATCGACAAAACTGTAGCTGCTCTAAAATGGCTGTCAAAAGACTTTGGAGGTTTTTTTCTTTCCACTTAGTTTCTTTGCTCTATATGCAATAAAAAAAAAAAAAGATGTAGCAATGGAAATAATTCTCAGAATTTAATTTACACCTCCGAAGTACTAACTTAATAAAGAAATTGATCAAACTAAATTAGATGTTATAACACTTTTTTCCCAAAAGTGGGAAAGGCTAAACTGATCAATTGAGTTCAAATAAAGTAAGACTTTAAGAATATTTATGGAAAGGAAATTTTCAATTTTAGAAAATTAAAGTTACATAAATAGTTATTTTTCTTATTGACAAAATCTCTTATGTGTTGCAAAGATAAATAAATAAAAAATAAATCAAATTAGTCTCTAATAATCATAGTATGAAATGAAAAAATAAAAAAGTAAAGGAAAACTTTTTTTAAGAGATTCAGATTTGATTATTTTCTGACAGAATGTGTGTGCGAAGGGGGGGAAAAAAGTCTCATATTTCGCAATAAGAAGCAGAAAAAACATATACCGTCCATATAAGATGGTGCAGTTTGAGTGACTTTTTTAATCAAACTTTGTGCGGCTTGCTACACTTTGTTCCATGAATATTGCACCGAGATCTCACAGGTGTCAGATAACAGGAGGAAAAGACAGAAACAAAACAGCTCTAAAGATTTCTGTGTCGGACTCCAACTCATCTTTTTGATAGCGAATAATGGACGTCCAAGCGCTTGATAAATTTTTTGCCCCCTGGAATTTTTCCTTGTGATTCGAAGTGAAGAAAGACAGGAGAAGAAGATAGTAATTACTGGGAAATTAGATCAGATCTTTAGCTAACTCTTTAAAGACTAGCAATAAGCTAGAGTGCTAACAATTTGTACAATAATTGTGTTTTCCTTTTTTGTACTTTACTTTTTTTCGATCACTTGTGAATTCACGCGATTTTATCCCCATTTCTTACACACTTTAAAAAAAATCTTTATTAACTTGCAAACTCTTAAAGGAGACACACATCCTAAATAACGGGGCATTGCCCGATATGCTCCGAACAGCCTTTATGTACACACGGATCACGTTTCCAAGGTCACTAGCTCTCTCCTCAGTCTTTCCTTGGCGTGTGATGCTTTTAGGTGCTGGGGGAAAGCTGGGACATGTGGGTTTTGATCCAGTCTGCTAGTGTTATATAGTAATCCAATCACTCATTGTCTTACTCACATTTCTAAACGTATGCTAATTGTTTCAGAGGGAAGTTTGTTATGATGCTCTGCGTCTTTTTGCCTATTTTGCTCTAATTTGCTGTAGTTTTTTGGGGTTTTTTTGACATCCACAACCTAGCGACTGTTCATTTAGGTTGTATGGTTATATTTACGTAGGTCCTACATGGATCTGCCTTTAATATCAGGCCTCAAACTTTTCGTTTTTTGAAAAAGCCTATAGTGTAACCCTGTAACCCTGAAAAATCTCATTCTTATCCTGCCATAGTACTAGTTTGGAATATGTGCACGCAGATTACTCAAAGAAATGCGCAAAGTTAACGACGCAATCTAAAAATAAGCTCTTACAACAACAAGTACCCGAAAAATTGCACACAAAATGGTTTCCAAACAAGCAAAACTACAACCTGCTCTCCACAGAAAACCTTTCAAAGTCACCGATAAGTTGAAATGACAGCTGACTGGCCGGACGAATTCTTGGCCTGGGATATTAGTAATCCTGCCGGCGTGATCTTACAAACCGGGTCAGTACCGAACACGTTTTTGGGGGGTGTGATACCAGCACTCCCGTACGACTCCACGCTATGTAACAAAGAAAAGAAAAAGGAAGGAAAGAACAATGTTCATGTTCATGTATTTGGCTTTGGCTTTTATCCAAAGCGACTTACAGGGTAGAGAGGAGCTGCGTTGGCCGGGAATCGAACCCCAGGTCGACTGCTCGGAAGGCAGCTATGCTAACCGGGCAGCTATGCTAGCTGCTATGCTAACCGCTACGCCACCATTCCTCCAAAACGCAGCGCTTGAAACATTATGCTTGGAGAAATGGGTGGGTGGGTGGGGGGGTGGGTGGGGGACATCAGAGGGAATCAAACCCAGGTCGACTGCTTGGAAGTCAGCTATGCTAACCAGGCAGCTATGCTAGCAGCTATGCTAACCGCTACGCCACCACTCCTCCGAAACGCAGCGTTTGAAACATTACGCTTGGAGAAATGGGTGGGTTGGTGGGTGGTTGGGTGGGTGGGAGGGGGGGGGCATCAGAGGGAAGGGAGAGGAGAGGGGGGGGAGTGTGTTTTGACAGACCTGTCACAGTGGTTGCACTTAAAAGGCTTGGCGCCGGTGTGTTTGCGGTAGTGCCTCGTCAGCTCGTCGCTCCTGGCGAATCGCCACTCGCAGCCCTCCCACGAGCACTTGTACGGCTTCTCACCTGGGGCACGGGGAGAAAAAATAAAAAAAAATAAAGAGACACGCTCAAACACCACTTTAATCTCTCACAAAACCAATCGAATTCTTATTTTCCTCCTATGTGAACCGTCCCCCCTCCGATAGCGGTCCGCCTTTTTTTTTTTTTTAGTTAACTCGGCGGTATTTTCGCAAAGTTAAGGGGTATCCTTTATGTCAGAGTCATTTCAGCTGGATTTCACTGATAAAGATCCTCATGCCTCAACTTACTTTCTCTACCCCCCCCCCCCTTTTTTATTTTCAAGGACTGAAAAGAGAGCAATGCAATGTTTAACTGGAATGGAGAAGCTCCCACTGGTCTCCGATCTTGCTGAACAGGCAGAAGATGAGTGGAGGGCTGAGAGAAGTGGAGCGAGAGAAGGAGCGAAGGAGGGGGGTGGTGGGGAAGGAGGGTTGGGGGGGGGGATTAGAGGCAAGGTGGGTGAGAGGGCTGAGAAGAGGAGGTGAGATGGGACCGGGAGAGAGGTAAGTGGAGTAAGAGAGGAGTGGATTAAGGCAGAGGAGGGCTGCAGATATGCTGCTAAAGGGAGGGGGCAGGGGGGGTTGGGGGGTGGTAGGGGGGTGGGGGGGTAGGTTGGCGATAATTAGGCCAGTCACATAATGGCGAGGAAGCCGCGGCGGCCCTGCCAGCTGCGTTCCGGGCCCCCCGAAAGATGTCACCCGCATCCGTCACGTCCCATCTGGACGGCGGCTCGCTGTCGGACGCAGACGCGCTGACCGGCTCCGCCCGGGAGTGACCGGCTCAGTTTAGAGAACGCCATTATCAAAGGGGGAGACGTGATCGATAGCTCCTCTGTCCAGACCGTCCAGATTAAGACTGGTTCTTATCTGAAGAAAGTAAGGGGTTTACGTGGCGTTCTTTGGGGAAAAAAAACAAAACAAAGATGTCACGAACAGCGCGTGGCTAAGTCGACCTAAAATGCAAACCAGGCCGAAAAACAAATGAGGAGATGCAAATCTCACCCCCCACCCGACGGATGATCTCATAGAGCCCTGCTTACAGAGCGGCCCGTGAGAAGAGGGTATCAGGGGGAACATTCCGGCAGGAGTCGGGTGGCAGACACCGGCCGGACAAAAAAGTGAGAAAGGAATCAACCTGTCCGGACTGAAAAAACAAAAGACTTCTCTTTTTACGGCGGGACCCTGACCCCCGGTCGATCTATTTTTTTTAGCATTGGCGGGTTTTGATCGAAAAGTGGGTACATTTTGGACGAGAGTGGGCCTTATTCGTAATGGCGGCGACACGTATCCCTTTAGCTCCCGGCAATTAGCCACGTCCGTCCCGGGGAACGGCCTCCTAAACGTCCACGGCGGAAGGGTTTCGGGGCCGTCCGGCTCTGTCCAATCGAATTCCCGGGAGGTAGGGATGCCTGAGTGTGTTGCCTAGCAATGCTAGCGAGGAGGAGGAAGGGGAGGAGGGGTGGTGTGTGTGTCTGTGTGTGTGTGTTGCGGTGAAACATGAGGAGGCAGTAGTCGGTGCAGCTGGCTGGATCTGGCAACGGTAAAAAAAAAACGCCGCCGTGCCACCGGCCAATTACCGAGCACGCTGGCGGAGCACGGACGCAGTTGCCTAGCGACGGTAGCCGTAGAGCCGTACGGGGCAAGAGAAGGCGGAGGTTGGTGGGGGATGGAGGGGGTGGGGGGGGGAGTGGGCAGCGGTGTTGATGGTGGTGGTAGTGGTGGTGCAGGAGGAGGAGGAGGAGGAGGAGGAGGAGAAGGAGGAAGGGCACTCAGAGACCAGAGCCTGCAGCAGTACACGAGCACTCAGCTACCGACTCCTCCAACGATACACTGCCCCCGTTGCCTAGCAACCCCCCCCCCCCTTCCCATCTCTCTCTCTCGCCTCCCCCGCTCTCCTCTCCCTCAAGATGCCCTCGCGCAAACAGGCAACGGAAAAGAAAAAAAAAAAGCAGGTACACACGCTTCCCCTTCGCAAACACTTTTTTTCTTCGGCAGAAAGAGAAAGAGAAAACGACGAGAAGAAGAAACATCTTTTTTTCCACACAGTTGTGAAAATGGCAATCGGCAAACCTAATCCTAAAGTGGATTTGCCCGAATTCCGAAACCTAATCTGATTATGTTCTGTTACTTTTGGATTACTTTCCCTGTAAAACATATAATGTCGATTATGAAGCTAAGTGGATTATTAGCCCCCGATTTAAAGAATCACGACTGTGGGAGCCTTTTTTTTAATTATTTTATTCAATTTAATGAGAACCCAACCCCTAGTTTGGCCACTATTCATCCACTCAGAAGCAAACACGGGATAGAAAAACACCCCCCCCCCTTCCTCCTCCCTCAAAAGCATATTCCTCCCTGTGTAATCTGATAACCGGGTGTTTCCTGAGTCATTGTAATCCCATTATGTGTAATCCGTTACTTCCGAATGCTCTCGCTCGTGGCCTCGTGCGCTCTATACTCTCCAGCCACTCAGGTGCCGGCGTTGGAAGTTAATTACATTTCGTCCATTTGTCGGAGCCCGAGCCGGGGGGGGCCTGGAGTCTCCGAGGTCATTACGCGGCCTCTCTCGGACGGCTCTTTACGGGCTCCCGCCCCCTCGGACACAGATGAGTGAAACCAAAGTGAGAGATGTGAAATGGGGGGGAGAATTAGTGTTGGAGAATCATCTCGGAGAGACGTGTGAGGGGGGGAAATGTGTTCAGAAATGTGTTTTTTTTTAAAGAACAGTTGTTCTTTGAGTTGTACTAAATGCTACATTAAAAAATATGTGCAATATTACTTTAAAAAAAGTAAGATGATCGTGTTATTTTGCCCTTACGGAGATAATCGAACGGAAATACTGGATTACACGCAAGATGGTGGTGTCGTGGGGTTAAGAAAATGTGAAGAAAAGGCAAGACATGGAGCAAGCTAGCAAGGAGGAAGCGCGTTGAAACAGAAAGGAGAATAACCCGACGGCCCTCGTCTTTTTACCCGGCCCCAAAAAAAATCTAATTGTACCATTTCCTTATCTCCCATAAGCCTATTCACAAAAAAAAAAAGCTCTACAGGGCACTGTCATTTCGACTCAGCCTGCCTAATTCCAGATTAAATCGCAGCCCTTTTCTCCCTGGGTAATTTATGGAAATAACAACTAAGAGAAAGAGAGGGATTTGAGTAATGACATCTTTAAACTTGTCAGGATAATGGCCGGGTGAATGAATGAACGAGCCCGTGGCTGTGCCGTCTCTTTCTGGAGAGGGTCGCTCCCCACTGTACCTCCCCACCCCCCCCCCCCCCCCCATCCCCCGTCCCCCGTCTTCATTTGCTTCTTTGTTTCCCGCCCGTGTCAATCTCGTCTTCTTCTTCTTCTTCTTCTTCTTTGGCTGTTTCCTTTTGTCACTTTGTGTCAACATTCCCCCCCCCCTTTCATCTTTCTACAATTCGCGGCCCGAAACAGGCAAAGACAGATGTTCTGCATCTGGGCTTTTATGTAAAAGCACCTAAAGTGACACCGAGAAGGGGGGGGAACCGTCTCCTTGGAAAAGCCTTGTTCTTTATCTGGGAGGTATGGCACGCTCATTAAGCCATGTCTGATATGCATTTTTCATATGTTTCTGGCATACAGGAAAAAATAGGAATGTCACATTAACTGAGGGAAGATCTTTTAATCCATCTTTTTTTTTAGATCATCGAGATGTGTATCGCAAGAACGTCCTAAGTAATAATTTAAATAATTACTACCGAGCATTCAAAGTCATTTATCACTGTTGGCTGACTTCAGGTTAGCAGGCTTATGTTTGTTGTTTTGAATATGCAAAAACTTGAGCATTTTACCTGTGGAATAAGATGAAAACTGTCTTCTAGAATCCACAAAATACACATAAAAGTGATTACATCATAAAACAAGGCCAACTTAAGCTAATGGGAGAATATTTTTTGTTTTTTCCCCGCTATCTTTTGGTTGGTTGGCCAACTTGTTAAGGTGACAGACCCAACTTGATAAAGCCCCAAAACCGATGCCCTATTGTCTTAGTGGTGAACTAACATGGTGTTATTTGCTATGCTAATATACCATGAAAGCCACTTCGAATCAGGACACAACAACCTTTTTTAAGCAGCAAATATTTTTGGTACAATATAAAGTGCAGTCATTAACAACAATATATCAGTTCTCATCCAAAAATATTGTTTCAGAATTGTTTTCATACTGGCTTCATCTCACAGTAGACCATGAAATATGATTTTTGTGATGGTCATTATGACTTTCAAGCCAACGTGGGTTATTTGACAGATTTTATTTGACAATGCAATAAAATATAGGACTATTTTTATGACTATATATTTTTTTCTGTTTGTTATAATTTAATTTTATTTCTTTTACCGACCAAATACTAAGAAAACAACCTCTTTAAACGTTTTAGTTTGGTTATAAAAAGAGCCATTTCTGACAGTATGAACCCGCATGCTCTGAGAACAGTTATGGTCAACAATGTACTGAATAAGAGGGAGCTGAACTGGGTCCCGTAAAATCGACGGTAATGTCTTTGTTGATGGATTGATGGGGAACGAATTCAAGGCTCCATTGGAGCCAACGTTTTAGTAAAAAAAAAATATATTCTGGTTGTTTTGTTCAGTCGTGCATCAAAAGAGACGCGAGCGTTGTTTTCGTGAGGCCGGACATCTTTGGATTTTTTTTTTTTTGTTTGGCTTTATTTATATCTCCTGTCAAGTCCTTTACCGTCGGTATTTGTGAGCTGGTTTTTTCCCCAGAGCTGGCGTGGCCGGCCTGGAGATGAAACCCCCCCAGCATCTGCGCAAAACACACACGCCACACCGGGGGAAATCAACGATGGCATGCCCGTGCCCTTTTTTTTATCGCGGGCGGGCCGATGCCTGTGCACCGCGGAGGGGTGCGATCACACATCCGGCGTGTTTCTATTATCCTCAACATGCAGAGGGTTGACAAGTCGAGTTTCCCTCCCCGCCTAAATTCACACCCATCGAGATACAAGTGCACACACGTCGCGTCTTTGCGGGGCAGCTTTTGTGATCTGTCAACTGAACAGGGGATAAATTTAGACGGCAGGGAGCAAAAAGAAACCTTGTTTGGGCTGCCGTAACTTCGTTTGGCATGATGGACGCGGCGCTGTATTCCTTCTGGTTAAAAAGAAACAGCTGTACGTATAACGTGTCAATACTCATCTCATTATGGCCCTGGGTGCCTTTCCTTAGAGGGGATTCGGAGCCAAGCTAAACTAGCTTAACAGAGCTAAACAGAGCTTAACTGCTACCTGGATTGGAGAAAAAAAAAGAAATGTTTTTCTCACCTTCGGAACCGAACCAGAGGACGAGACAAGTAAAGTAAGGCGAGGCGAGGCAAAAAATAAGCACGTCAGTCATGTTTGGTGTGATTGAGACCTCAGCTGTAAGACTGCTAATTAATGGCCGCCCGCGCAAGCTAATACCAACACGGCCTCGCATTCAGATTTACTTTTCCATAAAAAAAAATTTTTAAATCATCGACATTGCTAAAACCAACCTCTGACTGAGAAAACGAGTGACCCAGACTTACAGAACACACAGAGGACGGGAGGGCCCCCCGAATTAAGCGGGGAAATGGCGGCCTATTCAGGTCAATCCATCCATCATTGTGCAGTTACTCAGACAGAGGACAGCTCCCTGACAGAGGTCTGAGTGGTTTGGGATTGAGATGGAGGAGTGGGAGAGTTATAGCCGCTGAACCCTCCCCCATTCCTTCTTGAGAGGAACCTTGACAAGGAGGACCTGCCCTGGTTCTGCACGGGGAAGGTACTTAGGTGGAAATAGGGCAACAAGAAAAGTTGATTTTCTAAATTTTGCTTTTTTTATCTAACGGCTGCGATATTTCCTTGTGGAACAGCGCCGGTCCTGTGATTACAGGCCCGTATCTTTTTACATTTCTTATCTTGCGCGTTTTATTCCGGGGAGCAGGTAGATTTTCCTCAATTATCTCGAGTCTGGTTATCGAGGGATTCGAAAGCCTGAATGGTCGGGGGGGGGGGGGATAGGGACGATAAATGAGCGGATTGATCTTGTTCATAAAAACCATTTGCAGATAGCATTGATACCACTTAACTTTAAAAAGAGCTCATTTTTCACATCTCACCGGCAGAAAAAAGATGCTTATGCAGCCATTTTAATGTAAAGTACCAAAGTATCGTGAACTAGACAATATACTGTACTACGTTAGAGCGGTGTGAAAACAAAGGATCTGGAATAAAATAGTGCAAACTCAAAGACAGGAAGCAAATGAGCTAATTAGCTAAACCCAACTCATGGTGGAAAACACGGGGCACAAAAGGTCCCGGGCAGCAAGACGAAGCAATAATAGTAGATTCATTAAGCAGAAATACAACTCAAATCTCTGCCAGAAAGGAGATTTTAAAAAGTAGGTGCCCAAAAAGAATGATTAATTAGATTTAGAAACTACGGAAAAAAGCCACAAATTGGCAACTCACCACTTTTTGGGGTGCATTTATATCAAGTAATGACAAACTACAGATAAACTCCTAGACGAGTCAGTAATGATATCACTTCTGAGAGAAAGCGGATTTCCTTTGCTAAACAAAACCACATAAGGTGTATTTTATAGGGTCTCAACCCCCACTTGTAAGGGGTCACCCTTTTGGATGTGGATAAAGAGCAAATCTGAAAGGGGAGATCAAGTATCTGAAAGAACCAGTAGAAACTTTACTACCACAGACCCTGAGTCACCATGCTCTAGGTCTGTGAATCTATAATGGTGGGGTACGGCACTGGGCAGGACTATCCGAAAACTTATCCTCACCTGTGTGCGTCCTCTGATGGGCCTTCAGGTGGGAGCTCTTGGTGTACACCTTTCGGCAGCCATTGAACTGGCAGCGGTGGATCCTTTTCTTGTTTTCCGGTAGCTCTCCGACCCCGATCGTGCACGCCGCCCCTTCCTCCTCGTCCTTCATCCGGACGGGGAGCGCGTGGCCGGCCACTAGACGGGCCGCGCTGAGCCCCACTTTCCTGGCAACCAGCTTCAGGGTGAGAGTTCCGTCGGCCGAGGCTGTGAGAGTCTGGTTCGATTTGACCAGGTGCCGCCCCAGTTCTGGCGATGACGGGGGAGTCAGGGAGGTGACGGCACTCAGTTGGGCTTGATGGACCCCTTCCGCCCCCTCTCCGTTTTCTGGTCCTTTGGGTTTTAGGTCTCTCGTCATTGCCCCGGAAGAGGGCGAGCTCTTCCGCGTGGGGCACAGGATAACCGGGGGTGGGCTCGGAGGTTCGGCGAGGCCCGGCAGCCCGGGGAGCAGCGAGTCGGAGAGCTCTTCCTCCCCGTCCTCCTTCGCGTAGGCCGGGGTGAGCAGCCCATCCAGGTCTTGGTCGAACAGCTCTGAGAGGCGCTTGGGCTCGGTCTGCAGGTAACGTTCCAATTCCAGGCAGGTCTACAATGGAGAGATCGTAAGAAAAAACTTCATTTAGTTTCAATTCAAGCAGGTTCACACATTTGGGCCTCACCCTCCGATCCCACTTGACGGTTCCGACAGCCCCTCGGATAATTCGGTGCGCCCTTACGGACTTTCGAGAAGAAAATCTGCATGGCGCCTCGCGCTGTCATCATGCTCTAGACAGCCAGGACGTGCACACACAGATAGCCACCGAAGACAGCCAGGATTACCTGGCAACTCCGGCAAGATGGCTGATTAAACCCTGATTGATGGCGGCCGCAAGCGGCGCGGAACGCGAGCGAGGCGGAGTGGATAACGGGCGGCGAAGTCCTAAACTGTACGGAACTCCTATCAAACGAGGTTTTTATAGAGCTTTGACAAACCATGTGTGCGCGCCGGCTTCCACTGAGCCAAGATAGGAAGATTTATTCGGTTGTAGTTATGGTCTGCTTCATCCCTATTACTCCAAACACCTCTCCCCGCTGAGGGCAAATAAAAGGCTGCATCCCCCGATTTGTGCGAACTGGCATCCCTGAGAAGTCTATTACTTTACAACAAGCTGGCAAGGTTTTTTTCTGAGAGGAGAGGAGCCGGAGTAGGGGTATAAGAGACACTCCCTGTCCAAGGATAGAGCCATTACGCCTGAATGGACGGCGCCGGTTTGATCCCGGGGATCGTTGCGTCTCGTTGTCGCCACTAACCCATTTTGACAGCCGAGATGGAGGCTAGCGGCTCCGCTGGGTGCGTGCAACTCGCCACTTCATTTGTGTGTAAATAGGCACTGACAGACAGAGTAGCTAGTTCCATTACCAGGAATAAGGTTGCACAGACTGAACACATCAGAGACGCTTACAATCTTACATCCACCACCCCCCTCCCCCCCAACACACACACACCCACCCTCCAGTTTGCACCTTCTAAAAATAAAACCACACTTTTTCTTTGCCTTTCCTTTCAAAAAGGAGGGATGTCTGTTGCTAAGCGAGTATGATTTTCTCCGAGAAGTCATTTTCTTCTAAGGACGTATTTGAGTGTTTATAGCCAAACTCTACAGTTAGAAGTAACGATTTAAAGGCATCTGAAACGACTTCAAGGACTTCAGACAATGACTTGTGAATCAAACGAGCTGGATTTCTGCCCGTTGATTCTCTCTCTTTTTCTTTTTTTTAGACCATTAGCAAAGATTTAAGATGTGAAAATGGGACGAACCACACAGTGAGCTATCCGGAAAAAAAAAACCTGCTATCTTTGCTAATAAATTTGCAGTATTTCAAGCCCACTACCCACATTTCAGCATCACTCATTGGGGCAGCTCTGCCTCAAGCGAGATCGATTTTCTAAATTCAACCTTTTCCTTTATCTCTCCCTTTTCATCATTGTTGTGTCCCCCCTCTACCGAGGTAATGACTAATTATCCTCTTTAAACCGGCCAGTTGAAGGAGACTTTTTTCGCAAAACGCTGAGGACTGCAAACCAAAGTGTGTGTGAGGGAGTTCAAGGGAGCAGAAAAGAGGATGGAAAAAGGATAAGTGCGCACAGGCTGGAGAGAGAGCTCAGGATGAAGACAGAGGAGGAGGAGGAGGAGGAGGAATGATGGAAGGACAAGGTGCAGGAGGCAGGAAAGGAGAGAGTAGAAGGAAGGACTTGACTTCATTTTCTCTGTGGGGGGTGAATCCTTTTTGGAGGTGTGACATTTGGCGTAACAGGATCCTGTCAGCGGGCAAGCCACAGGCCTCACACACACACCGAAACACACACTCGCACAGAAAAGGAGTTCACGCACACTAAATGTTATGTTACGACCCACCGCGATGTGTTAGGATGTCGAGGGTGACATGGCATGAGATGGAGTGTGTGTGTGTGTGTGTGTGTGTAGAGACATGACGCCTGAATATAAATGTGTGTGCATACAGAGCGACAGACGTTTACAAAGTAAGAAGGATGAAAGGGGGCTCCAGGTGAGTCGGTGGCAGGTATGACAAGCTTATCTTGGGCTCTCTTTTCGGTCTTTTTCTTCTCTTCCCCTCCCATCACTCCATCGAGAACATTCCCCCTCCCCTTTTCTTCTAAACCCCCCCCTTCCTTCCTCCTCCTCCCCCAGGTGGTGACATTAACATTGTTGGAGAGAAGGTCATGCCGCTGATCAGCAGTTCCTGTGCGCCCGCTGGTGGGGGTGCGTTCGCTTACGCAAGTTTGCAGGTGCGCGCAAATCGTTTGTGCATGTTTGCGCTTCTAATTACGCCATTTTATGTGCAATTACGCAGCCCTTGTGTCCGCGTTTGTGCGAAACACCTACGCACAAACGCACCGGTCTCGCGGCCTTCAAGTCGGGAAAAGAGCGGGTGGTGGGTAGTCGCGCAATCGGGAGCCAAAGAGTATGCCGCGGTATGCCAAGACAAAGGAATGCTTTCTGGCTCGCTCGGAGTCCATTTGGACTCGGGCCGATCTGGGCAGCCGACGTCAGCTGGCTTCGGAAGAAGCCAGGGTCGGTTTCCTAAAGGGCTTTCGGGATGATTCCATCGCGCGAGCCAAGACAAGCCGAGACAATCCAGCGACTGGTACCGCAATCACACCTATATCAGCAACTCCTGCTAAAGTTCCCCCCTTTATGACCCGATAAAATATTCACAAATGCTATTTTCTTTCAAAGATAAGTACATCCACATGTATTTATTGCCGGACGCCCCACCCCCTCCTATTTTGAAGGTTAGGAAAAGCTCTTTTTTCCATCTAGAGTTCTTATTCCCCCTGTATCTTTTCTCAAATCAACAAACTGCATGTGCAAGGTTTAGTATTAGTGTTTTTGCATTCTGGGGGGGTATCAGGAACATGTCAATGGGGTCAAATTGGGGGGGGGGGGGGGGCGGTGTTGGACAGGGTTATGCTGTACATTTCTGTCCCCTGAGGTACTTTCGAAACTCACAACCCCCCATAGGGCCTACAACTGGACATATTTGTACTTTCTGAGGGGCTGAAAAGTACGCCTGGGTTCCCAAGTTGAAAATACTACATATATGTACTCTTTACTGATATGGAAATAAAGGGAAGTATGAATGGTAAATTGATGGTTGTTGAAATGATTCGAATTGGTGCCTCAATGGAACTAATTTGGTTATTCGAAGTCCTTGCCGATGATAGAGGGATGGACTTGATGAAGAATGCTCTTTGCTGCAGCCAGGAATTAAAAATTTGTAATTAATTGTAAAATATTAAACTAAAGGAAATACAAAAATAAAGTTTGATCTAAGGGGTTTCCAACCTTTGAAAATAGTGGTTTTCTTCTTTTCAAATGAAGTACGAAACTGACACCAGGGATACAACACTGGCCTTTATGAGGTTCATATTAGACCTTTGATGGGTACCATCCTCGTGACTAGACATTAAACCCCAAAGCTGCTGTCGGGCACTTTGTTTTTGCGCTTTAGCTTGGCTCTGCTGTAGAAAAGTACTAAAAGTACTAAAAAAAGCTCTGTTCTGTGATAGAGACAAAGTCTGACGATGCAAACGCGTGTGCGTATCACCTGTGACTCTTTTGTCGAGCGGTGTTTCTGGTGCCTCCTTAGAACCTCTTGGCTGGAGCTAACCCAGCCAATCAGCAGGCAAACACGCGCAAACTGACGCGGTTCTCACTTTAACACCAATCAAGGTGCGAGCGCAGGCGGGGAAAAAAGCGAACGGAGTAATCACAGAAATACGCCGTCTAGGATCAACACATTTTTGGCGGACGACTGGCACTTAGGCTCTTCTTTTTCAAGGAAAATCTGCCTTTTTTTTTCATTTTTATGGCCACTGATTAAGACTTCTTTCCGCACGACCTGTTTCCTGAACAGCACTCACACTGAAATGCCCAGCGGACCAAAGTGCTGAGGCCAAAAAAAAAAGAAAAAAGAAAAGAGCCACTTTTCACAGCTGACGTTTTAGCTTGTCATAGCAGAAAATTAAAACACTGGTGTTACTAATAACTTTAATAACGGCTCGGTTCTTTTCGAGCGCGGCGATAAGCCGTGCGACGGTGGGGGGCCATCAAGCCCCGCCAACCAGAAGGAGCCGAATGGAATTTCGGCGGTCGTTAATTTTACTGTTTGCGCTCGCGCCGTGTCAAAATGTCACCTATAAAAATACAAAAAAGGAAGAAAAAAAAAAAGGGCGATCGAGATAAATCAAGAATTGCTGGCTGCACGAAAAAAAAAAACGTTTTGACCTTTCGGCTCATCGCCTGTCACTTTTTCCGGTTATGGCAGGTAATGTCTCACGTAATTAGCTGAGCAGTGAAAGGTTACAACTGAATCAGACGGAAATTGATACTGACTGAGAGCTGCGTGATTGTTGCTTTCTTTCCATAGGATTTGGTTAAATGTCTTTTTTTTTTTTTGCAACTAAATTGACACTTTTTGAGGGGCTACGATCAAAGATGAGTGCCGCCAAAATTCTAAAGTGGGTTTATTTGTACAGGGTTTGTTATTTTTTTTGATGGAACAGCCATTGTCTTTTCTGGCTACACCTTGATTAAGACCAGGCGAATCCGAAGCTTTTGTAGGAGAAAGAGAAATTTGAAAAAATCTGATGCAAAAAGTTGCTCTGCAGCTGGCTTTTAGGACTGTTCAGGACCAGTTTTCCATATATACGTTGCTCCGTTTTAATTAACATTTGTCCAATCTGTGGGAGAAAAATCCAGTTTGTCGGCCTCTTGCTCAAACACACACACACACACACAGACAGGAGCACAGATGCAGACCACACCTCAGGTTAGTGAGGCTTAAAATACAGCAGGTGTGACAATTATTCGCTGATCACAAGACACGCTCCTCGCAAAGTCAAGCTGGGTGAAAGCTGTGAACCGAGCCCGATTCGCTCACTTCCGCTCTTCGTTCTCAATCTCCTCACTTTCCTCCCTCCTCCTCCTCCTCCTCCTCCTCCGTCTCACCCTCTCCTCCCTCCTTCCACGGAGGGCCCTCGGCCCTGGCAGCTGATCCTCTCTCTCTCCCCGTCTCCTCGTTTCACATTTGGCGCACACGGGGCTGCCTGCCATCACCATCAAAGCGCTCGCTGTCTCCCAACTGTTAGCACCCCACTTTGTCGCTAATAAAAAGCCCGAGTTATAAATATGAACAGAGGAGCATGCATAATGCCCTAAAGGAAGGCCCAAAACACCACTAAACAGATAAATGTAATG